ACTGCAACTTTTACCTGCATTTCGAATATTATTGTGTTGGCATACTTTAAACCTGTGTATTAGTAGTGCATGGGACCTAAATACTATTTTTTTTTTTAGTTTGAAAACCTATATTATTGGCTATTTGAGCTGATATTGGGTGTGTTATTGAAGTGAGGCTACTTAAATTTGGGAGCCATAGGCTCATGTCCATTTTGCCTACTGGGAAATATGGCCCTGTGTTGGGCAATTTTAAAAAAAATAAATTTATGAGTTTTGGTTTTGTTACTTGGAACTTGGAAAAAAAAAATACTCGGTTCGCAGTCAGTACGATATTTATTTGTCGCGGTGTCTCGTCGAACATTTGTATGTATAGGTTTGCAATTCAGTAGTTTTTTATTATTTTTTTTTTTTCAACTTCTAACCAAACCAAAAGAGAAGGTATTGAAATAAAAAATAAAAATGTATACACTGACCGCGACTGGCACGTAGTACAGCAATTCGTTTTCATATATATATATATATCCACGTCCCTCGGGTCGTAACAGACTGTTTTTTTTATTATTGTTCTTTTTTTTTTTTTTGTAAGAAAATAAACCGATAAATTTCGAGAATTTTATTAAGCGAAAAAAAATAACATTACACTAACAAAAAAAAAATTCACCGTTACGACGGACTAGGAATAAACGCAATGCCGATAAAGCATTTTTCCTCTTTCGCATAATTTTATTTGGCTGCTTTCAAAACGCATGTTATCATATTATTGTTATTATCATCTTATCTGGTTTTTTAAACGGTCAACAAATTACCACGGTAAAAGCATTCCGCATTCGGTTGCGACCTGAATGGTATATTTAAATCGATAATTAAGTATACAGGTACAGAATACGGCGACATTAAAACCCATATCTCGACGACATTATAGCGAACCGGGTTTATTTTAATATGTTAATTTCTAGACTAATTATGATATTCTGTTTACGACGTTAAAAAACTAGTTAAAAAGAGAACGCGCGTTTTCTAATTTATTTCATTTTCTTCCGTCGAGTTACACCACAGCTGGTATTGTGATTGTCCAAATTCTTATTCGAATAGGTAATTATTATTATTCCAGTACATTTTCTACAATTTATTCGAATACAAAATTGTTTTTCTACGGTATGCTGGTTTATATAATATATATTTTATTTTTAAGTTTTGTACTCACCAGTATATTAAAATAGTTAACCGAATGACGATTTTTAATTTGTTTAAACGCAGCAGGGTCGAAAATATTGTACACAATACTTACAATATAAACGTAAACTGATAAGAAATACTGATAACGAGTAGTCGACAAACGATGATCGAAGGCGATAACATTACATATTTATTATTAACATGCTTGGTTAGATTTCTTCGACCACAATGTAATATAGATAGATTGTTTTTAAAAAAAATTTTTTTTGGTACCACTGATCTGAGCTTATTAAAGTTTGCTTACATTTTTCGAGCATTTATACGAAATAATGTTTTCAAAAATATAATTACTCGAAAAAAGCACAAACTAGGTATTTAAATAATGTGTTTTTTAACAATTATTTCAAAAATTATCTTTTTAAAAATTATTCTAATAACGTTTACTCTAGTGTTTGTTTACCTATATTATGTTATAACGTGTTTGACCAGAGAACAGTTAACCATCATGCTTGTTTTCTTTTAAGTAAAACTATAGAGCACCACCTAAATTGAATAGTTCTTTTTTAACAAAATAAAATGATGTAAAAAACGCGTTGCATTTCTGTTACAACTGACGCTGAAGGGTAAAAAATCAAGTTATAAATATCAGAAACAATAGAAAAAAGCAATCGGTTCTGATATTGAACACAAACAATGGGCCGTTTAGGGGAAAGAGGTTCATGTTTTTTTATGAATCATAATACATTATGAACCACAACCAAGTATAAAAAAAATCGTATTTTTTATCCCGAAAAATTTCGTGTAAAGTAGCCGCACCTAGTCAGGAAACAGAAAAACGAACCGTACCTATATACCACATAATAACCACAGGCTGCCGAATTCGCGACCTAGAGGTATCTAATGCCAGTAATATGTTTGTTGTGCACATTCCATAAAACGTTAGACACACATAATTATAAACCGTACAAACTATAACTACAGAGCGACTAAAAAAACGTTTTAATTTATATACAGGGTGATCCATCGGATGTAAGACATCCTATTCTTTGCAAAGTCATAGCAAACGAACATAATATTGATGCAAACCAACAATTCAAACGCTAAAATTGTTTTTCTAAATATTTGTTGTCTACATATTTATGGAATCAAACACATATTATTATGTTCCAGTAGCACTAAGTTTAGTAAAGGATTATCCTCGAGGGTAAACGGTTATCCTCCCTTATCAGCAATTGATAAGGTGATTGTTATCAGTGCGGCCTTATCAGTGATTACGGGGAAAAAACGAAGCGCACACTTCTTTTGCTTATAAGGGTTAGGGGCGAGGGTTCGTAAAATATGTACTTGCAAGTATAGGAAAACTAATAAATTTCAAAATATTTATATTTTCCTGGTAAAATTAGTGCCTTTGTGTTTTTTTATAATTGCAATACGGTTGTTATTCGGGTTTCTATACTTGTAGTCACCATTGTGTATTGTATGTTATTATTTTTAGTACATGAATGTACCGTTTTTTTTATTTTGCAATGGCGTATCTTACTGTTTAATTGCTTAATTATTTGCGTCGTAATCCCTATGGGCAAGATCGTTTTTCTAATAAACTATAATTTCTATAATTAAACGTGTTGTTTCTCTAAAGTTTAATGTGGCGTTATAAATAAACCTAATAAAACTGCACTTAACTAGCGGTAAAAGTAGCGCAGATAGGAAAAGATATGATATTTTCTTTTTTTTCGAAAACTCACTACTATCACCTACTCGTTTGGATTAATTAATAAAAATATCAAAATAAAAACGTTCGGTTTTATGAGTGTCCTACTAGAGAAATGCCATATTTTGCAGTCCAATAATATATATTTTAATATTGAAAACTCTTATTTTTTTTTTGAGCAACAGAAAACATAACCTACAAATAATACATTTTCTCAACTTAGTCAGAGTGATTTAAAGTTTTTGGACCAGATTTCAGTCACGTCGTTAACGTCCTTCTATTGTCCTAAAGTTTCTAAACTCGCCAAGTTTTGCCAAGATCCTTTGTATATTATATTTTCCACTGGTGACATGTCACCAAAGACATTTGGACCTCTGAACCAAATTTAATCTAAACTCGACTTTGTTATCCTTTTTTTTTTTTTTGGAATTATACATTTTGCAGTGAAATTTGTTGCAACTCGGGTGTTATTGCACAATTGGCGAAATGAGTTAGTTAATGCAATCGTTAGGCGAAACTTTAAACTAGGTACAAAAATCGAATAGAGGTGGGCACGACTACAATATCGGTATACATTTACTGTGCTCTCGGTTGGTACATTAGGTGTAATTATCATAACGGAATAAACTACCGTGGTTATGGCCATTTAACCGAGTTGGAATTACCTACTCTTTTAAGTATATACAGCCAGAGTAGCGGTGCAACACTTTACCCAACTACAATCATCATTATCGCCGAAGGTATCCATTTGCACCGATGTAGAACTTGCGGTTTTACCTATATTATTATATACTGCACTTTTAGCCTAAACTTACTACTATTACTTGGCTGGCTATGTTATGTGCGAGGCAATTTGCAATATCCCCTTATTATTATTATTATTATTATTTTATGGTCGTCCGTCCATTACACTACGTCAAAGGCACCTGGCACACACAAAACAATAAAATACATTCATCACACGAATTCTATTAGAGGACATTCACGGTAGTGACTTACCGGAATGTTTGCAATGCCGTTTAAGCGCAGTTTAGTCGACATAAATAATAATATATATTATAATAATTTGATCGTTTGTGTCCAGGGTGTGCCCCCCGTGCACGTTGCTGATTTAAATTATTATTATTATTTTTTTGTTTCTCCTCCTCTGCCATAACCGGTTTACACGGCGGGGACTTGAATCGTTTTCCACTTATTTTCACTCATTAACGGTTATACCTAATATTATATTTAGGTACACTGATGAGTTGTTGTACTGCTTACTGACAGCATTGCGATTAGAAAAACAGTAATAGAGAAGGTACCTATTATAATGTTGCACGGTGAACGCTCATCGCTATGCTTACACGGATCTTGTAACCTACAACTGTCAGGATTTCCTTGAACGCGTTGTTTGATTTACACGGTCCCGGCTGTTTGAAAATTGCCAATTGGTCTTTTTAAAATCGACATATTTTAAAAACACCTATCTAATTTGCTAAAAATAAAAATTAAGAAAATGTACATGTGGATTATTTTCTTTTGACTTTTAATATACTTACTTTTTAAATTTATTTTCTCTAATGAAATTCGGTCGTGTGGTTTAAGTCAAGCGGAAAAAATAATGTTTTTACATGGATATTATGTTGTTGGGCTGGTTACAAGAAATGCCTCCATTTTTGCGTTGCAATTCCACTTTCACGTGATAAAAGATAAGAGTGATAAGTGAAAAGAAATAAAAGATAAGAGATTACCACAGATATATGCAATAAACTAGATACCAAGTGTACATGCCGCCGATGGAGATAATTGAAGTTACCATTTTCCGCCATCTTTGTGAGAATTAGGACCTCATCACATGAAAATATGTTTACAACAATTATTTAAGTTATGTTGAAACACAGAATCACAAATATATATATATATATTATTTTATACACCCATAAATCGCACAAAAATGGCGGACGTTGACTTTAATTCTTATCACTAGTTACCAATGATAAGATACAAGTGATAAGAGATATCCATGGTACAATGTTTTTCCGTTAAGCGGAGAAAATAATTCGTTTTTTTTTAAACTAAACAAAATCTCAAATAATACAACAATACTATATTATTTTCTTCTAAACATTCGCTTTGGTTTTTTTTTCAGTTTTGGCAAGTGATATCCGAAGAACACGGCATCGACTACACCGGATTCTACAAGGGCACGTCCGACCTTCAGCTGGAGCGCATTAACGTCTACTACAACGAAGGGTCCGGTAAGACAATAATATAACATTATTATTATTATTGACTAAGATATTGTTGTATAATCCAATTTCGAGACGATACGGGCTAGGGCTTGGCCGATTCGTCATTTCCACGTTGCCCATTGTGTGTACCTATAGAATATTATGTGTTATTACAATAATTATTTACTAAGCCCAAAACAAACAACATAAAGGCGAACCGTTACCGACCGGGCCTCTCCTTTTGCCGTTATTATATTATTATTATCCCCAGACGTACGGAGTTTCGAATTAAGTAGTATCCAAGTTTTGTACAAGTATATTATTACGACCTTTGGGTTTGTATGATATAATTGTTATTATGATGATGACCATTGGGTTCGCCCGCATGCGGGATAGTCTCTCAATATTAGTTATTCGCCTCGGCCGAGGTCATAAAAATTCGGATAGGAAGATACAACGATAATCGCACATAATACTAATTGCACATTTAATAACGGAATACTGCAAATTAATATTCGCCGCAACGATCCGACCGGAAGTGAGATTCAACATTATCATAATTTTATATTCGATAGTTCACTTCCGGTATCTTTTAGGTAACCGTACGATTAATTATTTTTCTGTACAAGTGTGTTGTTGGCCAATCCAATGTAAGATTGTCAAGATAAAATTCACTTGTTCGAAACGCTTCGATGCCAATCCAATGTAATGGTAGAAAATGTAGAAAAAATCTATAAAACAATAATTATTGTACCTAATAACAGTTATGTTCTCAAAACGCTTGCCAAGATCTGAAACTCTTCAATATCTTGATAAAATCCGGTCGTATGAAAGCCAAGATAAATATCTATCTTAATTAATAGTAAATTGTGAAAACAATACCTTCTCAGCACCGCATCGAAGATGGTGGAAAATCATTGCCAATTTATTCAACCGTGAATAAAAAAAAAAATTATATGCTGTCTAATAAATTTTTTTCGTTTATCCGATTTCACCCGGTTAAACGTGTAACTTAAGGACATTTTTCGACCCTGGATCCATCATCAGCGTTACAAAAAAAAAAGAGTAAATCATTTTTTTATTTAAATAATTTTCTACATTGAGAACGATCGATTTCCCAAGATGTAGTTTTTATTAAATAAAAAAAAAAAAAACTACACAAGTAGGCCTTTCTCTATACCGTTTATCCATTTATTTATACACTCAAGGTCACCGCAGTTGGTTATATTGTAATACAATCTAATCGAAAAGTTGTAAGCCTACTTTTCATTTTTTTTTATCGAAGTTACAATATGAAATACAATATTATAATAACATAAAATACTGTTAGTACCGTTTACCGAACGATTATAATTAGCTAGCGTTTTATTTTTGCGTACGTTGCGAAAAATACAAAATTGTAGCAATACTAATAATAATAGTAGTATAATTGCTCGCTGTTGTTTAACCAACAAACACTGTTAATTAGGGTACACCTATTGTTCGAATTTTTAAAACAACAACAAAAAAAACACCAGACATATAACAAATATTTTGTTATTATTTTGACCCCCGTCACACTTGTGTATAGAACACATAAGTGTCTACCGCAAACGAGACGTTAAAGAAAATAAAAAAAACCGTTTCTAAGAATCAAACCAACAAACATCTATCCAACCCGACCGGGTTTAAGAATAGGAAAGTAATATTTAGTTGTCTGTTGTAACTTAAGGGGCCTTTAAGACCGTTTTCCGTCGAGGAACATTTACTCAAAAACTAATTGATCGAATTTAATTGATTCTTTTTTTGTGTGTAAAAAAATAAGTTTTTTTATAATATTAAGAGATAAGTGATAAGAGATTATATACTAGTGATAAGAGTTAAGAGATAAGCGATGAGTGATAAGAGATAACATATCCACGATTCAACGTTTTTCCGCGGAGTGGAATTAGATTAAACCTAACCTCTCCCAGGACACCAAAAAAATAAAAATAAACGGTCCATTAATGTATGTAATAACCTACTTAAACTTGTTTAAAAAAAAATAAAAACGTGGCATTGCAGAAACCTTAACGGTGCTCTAAAACTGAACTCAAAAACTAGACGATAGAAAAATGGGCTTTTAAATCTACTATTGGTCAGAAATAAAACTTAACACTGGACTATTGGGCGCAGTTTGAGATTTTTGAAAATACCAATTACAAATATGAAGATTAATGTCGCCAATTAAAAGAAACTATCGTTATATTATTATTATGATTTTCTTAGCTTCTAACCGTTCGGAAGGGGGCAAGTATGTGCCCCGAGCCGTTCTGCTCGACCTGGAGCCCGGCACGATGGAGTCTATCCGGTCCGGACCTTATGGCGTGCTGTTCCGTCCGGATAACTTTGTGTTCGGACAATCTGGTGCCGGAAACAACTGGGCCAAAGGACATTACACCGAGGGGGCTGAACTCGTGGACGCCGTGTTGGATGTGGTGCGAAAGGAGAGTGAAAATTGCGACTGTTTACAAGTAAGTGTTATCATGCTTAAAAGCTCACTTACTAGTTACCTAACCTAACCTACCTAACTGTAGCGTATGGTCGTAGCATATCCAGAATAGAGCTTATTATTTCACGTTCATGAATGGTGAAAAATCTAAATTTAGTTTGGTGTTTAAGTGTCGTTTGATAAGCCCGACCTATAACCTAATCTGACATTCCAGGGGAGCGAGTGTCAATGGGAACTGTGGTTATCTTAGTTGTCTTGGGAGTGGGAAAACCGAATTCGTGAATGACAGAGGAGTGAGACGAGTGAAAAACGCATTGACAAATTCACCTTATCGCCACGTTTTCGCTAATAAATCACTTCTCAGACAGAGTCATCGTTGTGGTTGGTTAATGAGGGAATATGCTGCAAGGTTGGGGACTCCTTGAACAAGCATTTCTCAACCCATCTTCAACCCTGGCGGTAAATTCAAACGACAGGAGTTTATTGCTGTTGCCAGAGGTGTGAGGATTTGCATGATTTTCTTATGTTTGTTGTTCTGATCGACACATTCCGTTGATCCGAATAGAGACGTGCCAAAAACAATGGCATAATGTGACTCGTGCGATTTGCCGTGGACACAAACGACCCACTTGGGAAACTGTCACAGCCAGTGACTTCCGGTGTATTTTGTTCCGGTGTGATTTACAACGAGGGTCGTGTGCTTTCAGGGATTCCAATTGGCTCATTCGTTGGGCGGCGGCACCGGATCCGGCTTGGGCACGTTGCTGATATCGAAGATCCGCGAGGAATATCCGGACCGCATCATGAACACCTACTCGGTGATGCCGTCGCCAAAGGTGTCCGACACGGTGGTGGAACCGTACAACGCCACGCTGTCCGTCCATCAGCTGGTGGAGAACACGGACGAGTCGTACCTGATCGACAACGAGGCGCTGTACGACATCTGCTTCCGCACGCTCAAGCTGACCAACCCCACGTACGGCGACCTCAACCACCTGGTGTCGCTGACCATGTCCGGCGTGACCACTTGTCTCCGGTTCCCCGGTCAGCTGAACGCCGATCTCCGCAAGCTGGCCGTCAACATGGTGCCCTTCCCCAGGCTGCACTTCTTCATGCCCGGCTTCGCACCGCTCACGGCGCGCGGCAGCCAGTCTTACAGGGCCATGAGCGTGCCGGAGCTCACGCAGCAGATGTTCGACGCCAAGAACATGATGGTGGCGTGCGATCCCAGACACGGCCGGTATCTGACCGTCGCGGCTATTTTCAGGTACGGACAATCTTTATCTTGCAACTCGGAATCTTAGAAATAGGAATCTTAAGGAGTCTGGAGGAATCTAATAAATCTTAATCGTAGAACACTTCATAGGTCAGGGCTGAGATGGAAAGAGATCGAGTAATAAGGCCAGTGTAGAGTGACAAATACTATAAATGGTAATACCGGAAAGTCATTGTTAAAATGTATTCACCACAGATATATACAATAATAACCTAGATTGCTAATTGTACATGCCGCCAATAAAGATAATGGAAGTTTACCTTATTACATGTTTATAACGGTTATCACTGATAATAACAATTATAACTACAAGTTAAGCTGATAGCGCAGAATCGCAGATATATGTATATATTATTTTATACACACGCATAAATGCCACAATAATGGCCGACGTCGTATTCCGTTCTTATCACTAGTTAGCAATCTAGTTTATTATACATCTGTGGAAATGAATGATAAGAGACAAGAGATAAGCTTTTATCACTAGTTAGCAATTTATTTTTAATTCAATTTTTAATTTATTTATATACTATATCTGTGGTATTCATCCAGAATTTCACCCCCCCCCCCCAAGTCTCAACAACAGTGTTGCCCCAAATCGAGGAATCAAAATATCGTTATTCTAAAAACGATGCCTACACTGCGTCGATCAAACGATTTATAACAATTGGTATTGTAATATATGCTTATTAAATATAAATTATTACCATACGTAATAGGCATACGGTATATTGTATCGCGATGCAATATGGCTGCACTGATGTTGGGGGCAAAATAAGTGAGCACCTAAAAAAAACACCTAACTTTCCGGTATTATAATTTATAGGGCTGTTTGGTTATAGCGCAGGTTAGATGGTAAAACCAGATGATGCATTTCCTGGAAAACCAATGGAATTGCTGGAAATGTGAACAAAAACCCTCCTCATCTCCAGAGTGACCACTGGTAGAAAACAAAAATTCTTTTTGAGCAATTATTGTTTCAGAACTAAGCATCCGACTATAGGTACTTAGGATGGCCCCATATTTCAATTCTGTAAGGATATACCGACTCTTTTGTAATTCTGTAACGACTGTGAAACATCTAGCGGCAGTCGTTCGAAACTTGACAACTCCCTCTTTCATCGAAGCCCTACCTACCACAGCGCTGTAGGTCCAATACTTTACAACCTACATCCGTCTGAAACCCCACCATTCTTGTCTCTGAGACACTATGTGTATACATAATATATTTTTTTGATTTTTAAACAAACACACAGGGGTCGCATGTCCATGAAAGAAGTGGACGAACAAATGTTGAACGTGCAGAACAAGAACTCCAGCTATTTCGTCGACTGGATACCGAACAACGTTAAGACGGCCGTGTGCGACATCCCACCGTGCGGTCTCAAGATGAGTTCCACGTTCATCGGCAACACGACCGCCATACAAGAGCTGTTCAAACGCATTTCCGAACAGTTCTCGGCCATGTTCAGGCGAAAGGCTTTCTTGCATTGGTACACCGGCGAGGGAATGGACGAGATGGAGTTCACCGAGGCCGAATCCAACATGAACGATTTGATATCCGAATACCAACAATATCAGGTGAGATTTTTAACACATTACCGAGTCTTTGCTTTGGCGCACACCCGGAAAAATCGAGTTCTGTTATCATAACGAAAAATAACAGCTGATTTATGTGATAAGATAAGAGTGATAAGAGTTAAGAGAGATAAGGGATAAGAGATATGTCTTTTGGGGATGTCGAGGCAAGTCTCTCGAGTTTTTAGATATTTGGACAAATATTACAAGATAATAATTATATTCAGTGCATGAAATACCTGAATTATTTGATTGTTGTATGAAAAGTTATTACTTACTTGTTCACAGCCATATTTTCTATAATAGATAAATTGATAATGGTATATTATTGAAAGGTACAAATCCATAATATATTGATATTTTTTTAAAACAAGTAACCAAATATTCATCCAAATAAATGAAAACAATTTCACAACGAGCACAATAATTAAATTAATGGTTAAATTTATCCAGAATAACAGCTGACCAGGTGAATGTTGCCAATAAACCTATCGGGGTCGAATATTAGAAAACTACTATAAAAAAACATTTGGCCACAACATAAAATTAAAACTATACTATCATCATATATTGCAAGGAAATTATAGATTGGAAATAATCATTATTCAAAACGTAAAAAATTCCATACTCGAACTATTAACAAACAAACATAATCAATTAAAACTAATGAAATATGAAAAAAAATCAAAAAACTTTAATTATACTTGAAATATATTTCAGGAAGCGTCCGTGGACGAGGAATACATAGAAGAAGAAGAATCCGAAGAAAGAGCAATGTGCGATTAAATAATAAATAATAGTACATAGACTGTAAGGTTAACATTATAATCTCTCTCTCTTTGACGTATTACAAATTTTTTATTTTTTTTAAAACATATTTTTTTTTGTATAATTTAGGCTCGATCAATCAAAGTATGTAACACGGAACGTACTTGTGAATTGAATTTTTTTCTCTGTTTGATCTTTAATCGTATATATATATTTATATTATATCGTTTTTATTTGTATTATTTAAAATTTGAACTAATCAATTATTTACGCGTTAGATATTTTTAATAATATAATAATAATTATAAGTTAAATTATTTTCATATATTTTTTTATGAGTAAAAAATTTCATACATAAAAATCATTTGTATAAAAAACAATATTTACACACTTTATGAAAAATATACATAATATAATATATATTATATATTATTTATAATACTGTGTATTGGAAGAAAAATAATAAAAAACAAAATTTACCTAAGTTTTTTCTGTACAAAAAAAATTTTAAAAACATATTATAAAACTCATAGTTTGGTTTCGTGTCGGGCACCCAGAGCGTTGCGTTCGGGCAGCCGCAACGGCCGCGGAGACAGTTGCGGTTGCGAGCAGTCGGACTCTTCGTCGCCAGAGTCCACGTCGCCGTCGCTGGAGTTGGTGGACGCGACGACAAAGTGATCGGACCGAACGGTCTTCCTGGGCTTGACCTTGCGGTAAAACTTGAACTCCCTGGGCAGCGTGTAAGACCGCGGCAACGATATCTGCGAGTCGAGGTCCGACGGCGATTTGTACGACTTGTACACGAGCGTCAGCATTTGGTCGCGTGCCGTTGGCGGCGAGCTATTTTCTCGAGCGCTAAAATGAAAACACGATTATTAGAGTTAAAACCAACAATTTTACTAATTTAAACATGAAAACAATTTTTACTCGTACGGCGGATTGCTCCAATTTTGTTGTCGTAGAAACCCTTGCGGAGACAACAGCACTTCGTCGTTGTCCGGTGTCCGTTTCAGTTTGCCCTGTCTGATCTCCTCTTCGATGGCTTTCAGTTCGGCCAACTGATTGGATCGCTTCTCCTGTAACTTTTGGCGGATGTCTACGGCGTGCGGCGACTCTTGGACGCTGCCGTTGTCGCTGGAGTTTTGCCGGCTGTGATCGGAGTGCGGCGGCGGCTTGCACCAGAACGCCACGCTGTCGCGGCCGCCCTGGCCCGACGACGGCGGCGGCACGAACGTGGTGGGCTTTTTCTTTTTCCTCTTCTGCATGGCCGCCACGTACGGATTGGTGAAACGGCAGTTGAACACGCCGGGTATGCCGTTGTGCACGCTGGCCGGCAACGCGCTGTAATACCTTTGGTTGCGCTGTATGGTCGGCGGCAATTCGTCGACGGCGGCGGCTCGATTGCGGTAACCGCCGGGCGGTATGTTTTCGTACACGCTACTGAAACTGTGTCTCCTTATGAGGTCCACCTGAATGAGAAAGCGACAAATTTTATTAGCCCAAAGAAAAAACCCCTTTTAATTTTTTACATACTTTGCCGCCGTTCGGCACGTTGAGTTGATCTTTGTACTTTGCCTCCAACGCCAGTTTGACGGTGGAATTGTTACTGTTGGTAGCGTTGCTCAGTCGACCGCCGGATTCGTATTTAAGCCGTCTTACGTGGAAAAACTGATAGTACAGCGCCATGAACACTAGACCGCCGCTGAACAATCCGAGAACGATAAACGGCATGATGATATCACCGCTGCCGATACTCCAGACGAACATTAAAAGAGCGTTTTCCAATGCCATCACCACGTAAAACATCAGCTTGGAAACAAATGTACAAAAAAATTCATTAATAAACAAACAGGCTGTTATCATTTATTGGCAAATTTGTGTATTTTAATAAAAAATTAATTTAATTTTTAAAATAGTTTGTATTTTGAGCACTTGCTCTATCGAAAAGCCAAAAAATAAAACAAAAATCACACTACTTTAGTTTAAAAACAATTCTTCTTAATTAATAAGAATATAATTTAAACAGACACGTTAAATATGTGAACAACTTTTCAATATTTATACAAAAAAAAGTTTACATAACAGTTTAACTGATGCGATTGAAAGTTTTTGTAATATTTTTATTACTTTAAACGTTAAAACAAAAAATAAATACACAATTAATTTATCGATTTGAACTTAATGAAATATTAAACGATAAATAAAAGAGAGAGATGAGTTAATAATCGGAAAAATTACTTGGCCACTTTAATTTTGGTCAGTTTTACTTACCATTTTCTCCCTATGATTGTCTTCGATCAAATTGACGTACGCAAACGTGTACACGAAAGCCAGCAGAGAATACAGAAAAGCTTTGCGCTTGGACGACATCCGTTCTCCGTGAAATACATTTTTCGGCGAATGTAGCCACAACAGCATGGACAACCAATGAAGACTCAACACCAATAGTATCCAATATTTGTACATGGCGGCGTAGGCGGTCAACGATATAACTCTTGCTCCGACCGTACCGATCCGCCATAGGAACTAAACGATAACAACAATAATTATGTAAGGCGTCTACAACTGTTGTAGAATTTTTGGTTTGGATGTCTTACCTGAAATATAACTCCCAGCCACGTCAAGACGAGTCTGTGGACGTTTTGCATCCGAACGTTCTTACCGAAAGACGCCAGCGCCCAACATACACTGACGGTCGACAGGGCGATGGCCACTTTATTGAGGTCGCGCAGATGTTTTAGGACACCTTCGTCCGTCCACAGGAGGTACGACTGCAACAATAGCAGAGGCATGGACTCGCAGAAGGCGTGCAACAACCGTAACATGCACAAGTCGCGTACCTCGAACTTGACGTACCTCAGGTCGACGGGCAGGAACAACTTGAAGTACCTGTAAACGGCAAACAACAATACGAGACAATTGTTAGCGTCGCGTTGTACGTTATTTCTCGACGACCGTAAGTATTACCTCCAAAGGACGCCGAGCTGAACGAAATGCAATCCTTGGACCGCGTATCGCACCAGTTTGTCGGCCGCCGACGTCTTGTCGTTGACAGAGCGCGAGGCCAAGTACCAACGCAGCGACATGGTCTGTTCGACCGTGGCCGATACACCTACAAACAGCATCGTAACGCAGAACGGCACGTACCGTCCGTACGAATACAGCGCGTAGCCCATGACCACGTCGAACACGATGTCGCAGAAGTAAGCGGCCAACGATATGATGTTGAACAGGACATCGCACAGCGGCAGGAATTCATACTGGGCCATGGGACGACGGTCGAGTGATCATGTTTCGGCCCTTTGCGCGTGGAGACTTCAACAACCTGTGGCGGCCACGGTCATGGTGTGCACGGCGGCTGGCCAGTCGTTGTCACGGGCTGATAATACAAAGTACTTGTGCTTACTCGGCGACCGTCTTCGTAGACTATTAATTTTCGAAACGAAATTATATTTTGTATGGTTAGAATTTGAAAACATTAATATTATATTATTATCGTCGACGTCGTCGTCGTTGTTGTTGTTGTGTTTATTATCTGTCTGTTGCGCGACACGCTACGAGCTGTAGGTATCTGCGGCCGACGCATTCCCGGCGAGTTGCGCATACCTGCCGACAGGTGGCACGCCGGACCGCGGTACCCCCCGGTGAGTGTAGTAGGTACAACGAACGTAGCAGCGGCCGCCGCCGCCGCCGCCACCACAACCGCGGTGACCGGTGATGATGATAATAATTCATAAAAATGGGAGTATCGCGAGCGACCGCCGCCGCACCGGTCACCGGGGTAAGATTTAGGACCTCTTACGCGTTATACAGGGTGATTCGTTTAGTACAAGTCAACAGCTCGATTTCTTACCTCGAAAAGCAAAGAAACTGGTTTTCGACCAGTCAAAATCATTTGGCAAATCAAACTTATCTTAACTTGAATAGTTTATTAACAAATATTATGTAAACGTTACCGTTTAAGTTTTGTCAAATAAGATAAAAGAAAAAAACAATATATTCAAAAAGAAAATGTATAAAATTCATTTTTGTTTTTTGCCTAAATAAAACCCCTTAAAAATCGCTTTAATCCCCACAATGTATCACCCTGGGCTTGGTATAGGCAACGTTTAAACCAACATTTTAAAATGGATTTGATATGAAAAAATTCGGTAATTGTATTATTTCCAACAACAGTTGATTGTTATACTTACTTAATAATTTAGATAAAATTTTTGCAATTATTTGTATAAAAATAATAATATCATAATATTGATAAAGTACATGTAATAATATATATTATTATTTATCTTTATTAAACGATTATTTGCAAATATCTTGTGTCATTTTAGTCAGCATAAAGAACTAAAAAATAATAATTGATATTTGATAAAACCTAACCTGCAAAAACAATATATTATATCGCATTTTCAAGTCAATTTGTAGTATTTTTGTTAGTTCAAAAAAAGGCATTGTGATTTTTTCCTATTTATTTTTGTTTTATTTATATTATTTACAGTATTTATTAGGTTTTATGTGACTTTTTGTCGCGTTAAGCATTCCGGATTTCTAGTCCGCAGTATGGGTATATATCAATAATTGATTTACTATTTTTACTAAGAAGAAATCAATATTCATAACAATGTTATGCGTTTTATTAGTTGTGTTTGTTGGTTAAACGTACCATTGTTTGACAAAATGGGGATATTTTGTTTTTCTCGGTTGCCTACACTGTCAGACCAAAAACAAAGTCCTTTATCGAGTGTTATTATTGATCAAAATAAAACTGCAAAAAAAATAAAATTAATGAAGCACTTGTGTGTAGAGCAAAGACAATACATAGATCAGAAATTTTACATCTGAAATGTACTTTATTGGAACAACAATTATTTTAAAAAGAAGATAATTAATAATATAAAAAAGGGTTAGCTTAGCCAATCGATTAGGAGGTAAGTTATTGATTATTCTAGCATATTCCTTATTTACATTATAAAAAAATAAAAATAAAATACAAACATTTGTGCACCTCGATACAAAATGAGAATTAATTAATTGATTTTGATGACCCAGCCCTGCTGTATAAATGATACATAACATTATATTTTCTAATTATCCGTCTGTACCTATTACTATTGTATCATAATATCATGTGTAATGTGTCGTTCACCTTTTGACAGAGAACATAATAACTATATCAGGTTTGTACGTTAAGAAAATTGATAAAAGTAACTATTTGATTGGAAAAAAAAAAATAAATAAAAAGAGGGTTCCATCAATGGATAACCTCTTCCTTATTAATCATGTTACGCTGTTAAAACCTCTGTAAACATGTTTTCTTGTTGTGTAAAAAAATTGTAAATATTCTTTGAAATAAAAAATCAATAAATCTAAAAAAAAAAAAAATGCAGGTACTATAGAAAATTGTAAAACAATTTATAAAATAAACGGAATTGGTTAATGAAAAAAAAAAAAAAATTCTATTAAGAAAAAAATATTCGTTGTGCGGTTTTTTTCTCTCTCAGATTAGATTAGTTTTTTTTTTTTAATTAACAATTTACATATTTGAAATTAAATACCATATGATTACACTTGGTCGTATGACTGACTATACAACAATATCAATCATCGTTTCGAAATAATAGATAACTTGAAAAACAAGCGATACAACTGAAGTACCTGACTACATTGTTGCATTTCAAATGTGTATAGCAAAGTTCAGTGAAAATTTTACACAAATGTATATGTATAAATAATATTGATTAGGAATTTTACCGAATTGATACTTTGGACTGGCAAACGTGCGTTGGCCGAAATAATAGATTTAAAAAGAAATTAAAAAATGTATAATCCGCTCGCAGGTACAATTAAAATCCAAGATAGGAAATCCAGCTGTGGTTTATTTAGTAATTTTGAGTATTGGACGATATTCAAATTGTTATCATACATATCTTATCATATCATATCATGTCATATCATATCATATCATATCATATCATGCATATCTTTTAAAATTTGAGGATAATTTTCTGGACATTGTGACTGGTCTATACTGAACTTTTGGATAGTTACTTTTCAAGTTATTAAAGCTGACGACTTAAGACAGCATTACTTCGGCTAAATTTGAAACTTGATAACTCAAAAAATAATTTTCCAAAACTGGTCCAAATCGACCAGTCGAAAATATTATGTTCAACAAATTATTCGTTCAATTTTTTAGTCCATTAAATTTTGTCTACACGTATTGTGGTTTAAATTTCAAATGTTGATCGAGTTCTTGAAACGACTAAAAACGATAAATGTTATAATACTTTTTAAATTAAGAATAATTAAGCTATAATAAAGTCCACAATAAGTTGTATAATTAAGCTTTAATATACAGACAATTTTGACTGGTTGACAACCAGCTTTGAGCCGCTAGTTTTAAAGTTATAACGGTTTAAAAGTTAGAACGCAAGTAAGTATGAAATAGAAATTCCATGTCACCATTTTGACGTTACACTTTTACTTTCAGTTAGAGATAAGAGATTAGAGTTAACTGATAAGAAATTCGAGATAAGTGATAAGAGATAACATAACCACCAAAACGTTCGGTATAAATATATTTGTGTTTCTGTATAAACGTTATGTGTTGAACTTAGACTAACTCGTTGAAAAATTCTTACATCGTTCTGAAGTATTGACTGGTTCATAGCTGTGTTACAGTGAATCACCCTGTATAACATGCGGACTTTATTTAAAAGCGCATCGTCCATATTATATTTCTACACGGTTAACGAATAAACTGTATAATAAGAGTATAACGTTTATTATTTATTAGGTATAATCGCTATAGAACTTAACAGAGTAGCGTTTTTTTTTTTTTGGTTGTTGTTAGCTTTCGACGTCGGATTATAATTACCGTGCAATGAGTACCTATAACAGCAAATGTGCTGTTATGTTAACGAGAAACCGAGATAGTCAAATGCAAAAATAATATGATGTACCTACTTGGCAAAAGTATTTTTAAACACCGTTCAATGTCAGTTGCTTCGATATTAATTGTTATTATCTTCGACCGTGATCGAACGTTGCATTACCTTTATCAACTTTTGAAACTTAAAATGGTAACGCATAATATTATATTTCATTAACTTTTTTAATTGTTGCCAGTTGGAAAGTTTAGGACAGAAGCAAAGCTGGAGTGTAGTGTTATTTATATCTGCTCGCTCTCAACATTTTTAATCGTGGTTATGTTATCTCTTATCGCTTATCACTTATTACGAATTTCTTATCACTTGACTCTAATCTCTTATCAGTTAACTCAAATCTCTTATCTCTAACTGAAAGTAAAAGTGTAACTCCAAAATGGTCACATGGAATTTCCAGTTCATACTTTCTTTCCGCTTGCTCTTGTCTCCGTGTTTGTAAATGTAAAAAGGAGGAAAAGTGGGAGGTTAAGGAAGTCCTAACTTTTAAACTGTGTTAACTTTAAAAATAGCGGTTCAAAACTGGTTATCAACATGGATAACACATTGATGTTAATAATTAGTTTAATTTAAAACAGCGATAAATCGAAAGCGTAGTGTAAATGGTTTGTTTGCGCTTTTCACCTCAATCGGTTCTGGTATTTACCAAAAATAAATGCACATTTTTTTTGTATTATCGTTTTTGTAAAAATTATTCACAAGCTCGTACAATGATAATGATAATATTACATTAGCTGTGTTTGTTCGACCGGGTTTTCCCAGATTTATTGTTGCTGGACCTGGACTTGCTAGTCTGCGGTTGTGTGTTACTTAGACCAATACTTATGTGTTTATAATGTTGTAAAAAAAAAATACACAAGCTGCACAAATGGTATTGGTAAATTTTTCTGTGTTTCTTTACTTTGCCACGGAAAGGGTTGGTTTTGACCCTTCAACCCCTTTTTTTAGACGAGCCGTTGAGGGTGTTTTTGTTTACTTAAGTTACATTAATAACTGCATTTTAAATCTTCCATTACCTACCTGCGGGTATTCCTTGCAAAAACAACACAAGTCTGGTATTATTTTCGTATATCGATTTATTGATAACAAATAAAATCAATTTATAACTCATTTTATTTTATTATTTTTTTTTTTTAACTTATTACTGACACAATAATAATAATAATTACATCATTGCATACATTACAGTACATTTACCAACGCGTTAATAAAAAAGAAAACAATTATTTTATACCTAGTTAAAAAAAAAATTTCATTTACAAAAAAACGCTTCAACGCAAAAAACAAAACCCCCTTTTAACCGATCGGCCGATAACGTAGAAAATAATATTAATTAGGCACTTATAGTTAAAACTTAACAACAATAATTATCAAAAATGATAAAAAAAAAAAAATGTATAGGTAACCAATTCTCGAGATTAAGATTAATCCAATAATGGTGTATACATAAATAATTATAATAATATAATATAATATATATATGTACATAAAGTTAAAAGTCATAAGGTACAAAGAGATCTATGCGAGCGCATGAAAATATGACTTAAGATGTATTATAATTAATAATATTACATTATAGCTGCGCAATCAGCGCAATAGACGAGACCAGTCTGGGTTTCTCATTATAAAAAAAAAAGGCACGCGCAAGGTCAGCGCAGATTAAACATTATAGTTTGAGATTTGTTCGGTGTAATAGTGTAATAATGATTAAAAATATATTATTTGATTAATATTAAAAAAAAAGAGCTTAATATACACATAATATCATTATTTTATTATAGAAAATAATAAATTATTTTTTAGTCTTTGATATTGCAAAACGAGGACGAACACAACATTATATTAAACTATATTGTTATTATCAGCTACCTACATATTATTATATTTTAGTATGTGATGTTATTTTGCAACGGTACGCGTGTACGCTGTTGTTGCTCGTTTTGCAAACGACAAACCCGTGCGGCCGCAACACGACGGCCGTTGGTGTGCGGAAAATCGCTTACCCGACGTTGCGGCCAACGTACATGGCCCGCAGCAGTTGTCTGGTGTCCAGATTGGGAATCAGGCCTTGCTGGATCAGCCGTCCGCCGTCGGTGGTCAGCCGGTACGCAACGGAATCGGGGCTGATGGCGCCGGCGTAGTCGTAGACCGGGTTCAGCTCGTACCGCACGTGCCCGCCGGCGCTGTGCCGCACGGCCGACCGCACCAATTGCTCCACTCGGACCATCGCCGGATTTCGCCGGTCGGCCGGGGCGGCGCGCTTGATGACGTTGTACCGCGCGGCGCCGGGCCCGCCGAGCAGCGCGCCGAGCAAGCGCTCCTCTTCCTGGTCGTCGTCCCAAGTCGGTTCCGGCTGGCAGCCCGCCGCAACATGTCCCGGGTAGACCAGCGCGTCCACGTACTCCACACGTCCGCCGTGTCCCGTCTGGTAGCCGACGATCGGGCTGTCGGCGTCGTCGACCCTTACCACCGGCCTGTCCGGCAGCGGGCCCGCGCGGAATCCTTGGTAATACCAGCCGGACGACTCGGCGCACGGACCGACCGAACCGACGGCACCGTCCCAGTCGTGGGCCGACAGGTCGTGGTGCGACGCCGAGCCCGGGTACACTAGCGGCCCGTCGCCGGTACAGTCGCCGTTGGCGTACAGCCTAATGCACGTACCTCGGGTGTGCACGGACCTGGCGGTGTTGTTGAGCAGCCTGAGCCGGCGGGAAAACCGGTCGGCCGCGTTTTCGGGCGCGGCCAGCTTCGTACAGCCGCCGGCCAAAAGGATCAGGTGGACGCACGGCTCCCGGAATTCGGTGTTCGCGCACAACGTGACGGACGGCGGCGGACCGCGTCCGGCGGGTTCGCACTCCGCGTCGTCGACGCGTCCGCGGGGGCTGGTCGACTGGACCGCGCCGCCGACCGGCCGGTGCTCCGGGCACGGCGCCCCCGGGTCGCGGGGGAAACATGGTATTTCCGACTGGTCCGCTGCGGCGTTTGCGGCGATCGCGTGCCAAACGCACAGCAACGCAAACGTTCTCAGCATTTCTCTCTGTACAGTACCGAGCTACAGCGCGGGACGTGTTCGACTGATACGCGGCAACGCTGAAAAGGCCGTTTTATGGCCTTGCTAAAGCCATTTATAACGTAGCCCGTATCCGCGCAATGTGATAATAGTATATTGTAGATTTTTGCAAACGCGCAAAAATGCACACACACACGTCTGTTTGGTTAGGACTTTTTTATTTTTTATTTAATTATAATAATAATTTTCTTGTCCCCAAAATTAGTGTTGTACGTTTTTTCTTCTTCTTTTAAATAGCTATTTTATTCTTTTGGAATGATTGCAATTTCATAGTTTTTCTAAGTTTTTAGTCTAGTTTTTAGTGGCTATGTTTATTCTACATTATTTTAGAATATGTATGGGTTTTTTTTTTTTTCCAGAGCGCTATCAACACTTTTGAAACTCAAACATATTATTATTTTATGAGAAAAAACGGTTGTCCCTAATGAATCACCCTGTATATAATATGATAAAGCTGAAAGCATAATTGGCATGACACAACAAAAAGCCTACACGAGAAGGTCACAAGTCTCAATTAGTATACTTAACACGAAAGTGATAGAATCGCTTTTGCTTTTTCATTATTATTTTTTTTTTTTACCATTTAAGTCGACGGAGCTCTTGAAAAACTACCATGTTGCTATTATGTGTTTTTTTTTTTAAAGAGACGATAATTAGTGTTGTCTTATCCTTATAATAAATCCACCTGTAGACTGTAAAAAAATAGGAAGTTTGTGAAATTCAAGTGCTTACCAGAGGTTCTTGTACACACACAAGTGAGTGCTGTAGAGATTTCAGAATTTTCGCTTTAAGCCCTAAGACGTTGTAGGCCATAAATATAGCGTACTTTTTACATCATAAAAAAAAAATTGTCCTAAAGCAGTTTGACCTTGAGTTGGTGTAAAAATGTTGTGTGATATAAATATAATTATTACACATAAAATAGCATGTGTTGTTCATGTTCATATTGCTATTATTAGACTTGTAGACCAACTCATAAACTATGGCAATTAGGCAAAACGCTTTAATGAGCTTTATTAATAACAATTAACACATTCCAGTAGTTTTGGGGCCCCCTTAAAAGCCTCGAGAATTCAGTCTAAAGGTAGATATTGTACAAAGTGGAGCTGTAACATCATATAATAAACAATGTTATGGAACTGTTAAATTTTTATTTAATTTTTTTACAGGTTTTATTGCCTGAAACGTTGGCCGGACTACTTGGTCAAATATTGTGTTATAAAAATATATTTTCTATTATATTTTAATATAATTTATATTGTAGTATTCTATTAAATAGTATGCGTGTATATCTGAAAAATATCTATCTATTTCTGTTTAAACGGTTGGTAAATAATTATTATTATTTTCGCTGCGGTTAGATGTAGTATTATAAAAATATAATAGTATTATAGATAAATATTGGTTTTGTCGAAATGAAAAAAATAAAAAAGACAGACAGAGGTACAATAGCTGATAATAGTGCAATTTTTTTTTTGCAGCAGTATTAAGCACAATACACAGCAAAAAAAAAAAAAATGTATATGTTTCTGATGCTTTCGGTCGGCAGGTCATAGTCCGGCAATTTTCCGTTAATTAAACACACATACTATTATAGAATAAGATAAAAAAAAACCCGGCGTGTATTAGATTAGAATGAAGAAAAAAATAGTTATTAGATGAATATTTGATTTACATATTATGTACAGTTGGGTCAAGCTGACGCTTTAGTACAGTAAGGTTAATTATATTACAATCATTTTAACTGACAACAAAATACTAATGTTGTGATATTATAATTTTGTATTTTTTTTATTTGACAAAACTTATTATTTAAAAGTAAAAAACATAAGAAATCTTATTACGCAGAATGGCTACATAACAATATTTATTTATAAATAAATATTGACTTTATACCACCATTAAAATATGCATTTGTTGAATTTCATTTCTTTTTTTCAGAGGAATGCAATCATGAATGCAAATTGATGGAATTCCAAAAAAAAAAATTCAATTTCAGAGTTATGATCTATTTAATCACAATTCTTACTTGGCCAAAATTTGAGTAGTATCAATATTGCGCTGGTTATCATTTTTATCTATAAACTGATGGACCTCGCGGTTATCAGTTCTTCATTATTGTGTTATCATTCTTATTGATAACATTCTCTGAAGGTTAAAAATAGTAATATTGTTACGAATAATCAATAAATTATTAATAATATTATATTAATTATTATCCATAAAAAGTATGAGTATTACCGCTTCAAAACTGATTATCAACCAGTCAACATTTTTAGTAAAATATTCTTAATTTAAAAAGTTAATGAAATGTAGGTATGCGCTGTCATTTAAGTTTTTAATTTTAATTTTTTTTGCAATGCACCCGGAATGCTTTTCATTTTTTTTTTTTTTTTTAGAATGTGATGGGAATGCATTACTTTTTAAAAGGAATTTTCCAAACACTGCAACTGTATATCATATATTATATTATAATCAAAACAAATGTTTTCGATTAAGATGTACAATACACTCCACAAGGACTTAAAAATCCAAACTGTTGAACAACTAACCAAACAATATTACACTAAATTTCACAAAAAACTACAGAACCACTAAAATCCTCTCATATCCCACCTATCCTCGCTTACACTACCTGACAACCCCCCTCGTCGCCTTAAAAGGCGCTGGTGTCGAGATCTTTTATAAATTATAAAAATCAACAAATTAAATTAATTTAGTCTGAAGGGTCCTATCATTATATTATGTTATTGTTTTGTTGTACATATCATCTCATTTACCTGTTGTGTTAACTAATACAGATTGTTAATTTTCAATAAAAAAAAAAAAAAGAAGATTAACATGTACCTACTAGAGTCTATGGTGCAATCATTGTATACCAAAAATACAGTTTTGTTCTTAAATGTATGACATTATAGTTTATTCGAATAGAAGTTTAAGTGTGTGTATTTTATAAAGAACAAACAAAGAAACCTAGTTATTTTCTCCGGTCCACGGGAAAACATTTAATCGTGGTTATGTTATCTCTTATCACTTATCTCGAATTTCTTATCAGTTAACTCTAACCTCTCATCAGTTAACTGTAATATCTTATCAGTTGACTCTAATCTCTTATCAGTTAACTGAAAGTGAAAGTGTAACGCAAAAATGGTGACATGAAATTATGTGAAATGTTAAAATTAAAACCGTACAACAAATCACTGATCACAGCAACATATCTCAATTGAAAAATAACACCTGTGCATCCGGTTTATTATTACTACAATATAATAATATTACAATATTGATGTACCTGCCTATTGATGAAACCGATAAAATGTAATCAAACGACATTGCTGGCCAGGTAAAGTGGCTTGGGACGAGTCATTTAGTGCCAATAACATGCGCTAATAATAATCATACCAATGAAATTCCCGGTTGTTTTTTTTTCATTAAAAAGTCGTCGTCAGCACTGTTGGCAATATCGAGAAAAAAAAATTCTAAGAACTTAGAACACACCACAGCAATAGATCATGGGAAATGAGAAGGTATTTGTTTTGATAACGATATCTAAGGTCTTATCATCGACACTCGCCGTTTATTAGGCGGGCACTTAACCATAAATCACTCGAAATCAAAATTTTGACATTTAACGACAAAAGCCGACTCGCACAAGAAAAATAAAATGAAATTTTGCTTATAATGTATAAGTATAAAATAATATAATGAAAAATAAATTACCCGACGTTAAATCGGCCGTAAGGTCTGGTCGTAAAAAGTGTTGAGTACAAAATTACAATACAATATTACAATGTTGCAAAAATAATATCATAACTCTATATTATAAAATCGATAAAAAAACGAATAAAAAAAAAAAACATTATTAAATATAAAAATATAGATAGATAAAAAAAGTTTGAAAATGTTGAAAAAAAAAATCACATAAAATCGGATTACAAAAATCGAGATAAAATTATAATACAAACAAATGGGTATTTCTATCAGTTTGGAACTTCACAGAAACTTTGCACAACTGCATTTAAATACCTAATTGAGAAAAAAAAAACAATTTTGCTTAGCTGTTAAATGCATCCTGAACGAATTTCTTTCAGCACAACCTGTTAAATAAACCGCTGTAATGAGTATTTGAATTGGTTTAATTTTTAGGTTAGTAATGATAATTTCCTTGTCGTTGAAAATTGTACTCTCTGCCAAAAAAGGGAGAAATTACCCTTTGAAACATTTTTTATTTTATTTCAATTAATGAGTTAGTTTCTCTGTTTGTTTGATTAAATTTTGCCCAACTCTGACTGTGCGACGTCTCATTTAGAAGACTTGAACTTTCGGTTGAATATTATTATTTCTGACTCGACCCAAGTCTATAAGACGTCTACCGGAAGTACTTTCGACCTCTGGAAGTGAGTTCAACTCTCAGAAGATAAAAAAAAAAAATTACCCGTTTGTTTGCCCAATCGATCAGGTAGGTAAGTAGTGGTTTTTTTTTTTTGCTTAGTTTGCAAAGATAATGAGAATAACATAATATTTTTCTCACACAAATTCAATAACGTTTCGCTGTAGAAATACTCAAAGTAAATACTTGGATATAATCTTGACCTAAAGACCTATCGGGTTTCCGGTTTTTTTTTTTTTAGCCGAGAAGGTATTGTTTTTACAATATTGTGTTTTTATTATTAAAACTTTTTTTTTTTGTGTTTGTTATCTTCTAAGCCACTGAACCGACCACTTCGTGTGGGGACGGACGCTGCAGATCATCAATCTTACCTGTAAGGTAATTTATTGGGCCAAAAATTTAAAACAATTCCACCCATTCCTCTTTATAGTCTAGGAAAACACATGCTCTATAACTTCTGACAAAAACATTGTCGAATTAGTTCCAAATTTGTTTTAGTCAAGTTAAGTATACAATTTAAAATTCTAGTTTATATAAAAAATACATTGCTTCTTGGCTAACTTGCCGGTCC